GAATCGCCAATGACTAAGCCATAACATATGTTCCTTCGCTTTTGGCAACCCTATTGTGACTGGCGCATAGGTCCACTTAAGACCCTTGGTCTCATTACTGATGTGAGGAATGGGAACGCCCGATGATTACAAATAAAGTATTCACCCACCTTATTTTTATGAAACCTTGATGCTGACACTGACACATCTCCAGCAACGACTTGATTCTGGCTCGAAGGGGTAGTTGTTTCATGCTGGAACATTGTGGTTATATCTTCGGTTACACTACCCTCATTATTATTCTGCTCGTACACAACCTGGATTCCAAATTCCTTCGTATCGAATTCAATTCTAACCGAACTACGTATTTTATCTACCGAAACACGTATTTCATCCCCACCCTCCAATTCATCGTTTGTGAATCGCCAATGACTAAGCCATAACATATGTTCCTTCTCTTTTGGCAACCCTATTGTGACTGGCACATAGGTCCACTTAAGACCCTTTGTCTCATTACTGATGCGAAGAATGGGAACGCCCAAGTAATACAATCTCTTATTAACCTTATCTTGTGCATACACAACACATGCATTTAGGCCTCGGATCTTCAAATTACGATGTGGAGGTATAGTTATAGACAGCTCAGAGTCACCCATGCTCGACTTGTGGCAGAACCAATCTGGAACTGGAACCTCGCTCCCATGAAGGAATATGCTAAATATACCACATTCATCCAGTCCCTGTTTCATGCATGCATGGAGAGATTTATATATGTTCAAATATTACAGGCCACAGAAAATAATCATCATAAAAAACTCTACAATACATGAGAAAGAGAGAGAGAGAACCTGGAGAGGACCCTTCCTTCTTGTGTCTGTCAAGCAGTTGAGCATTTCAACTTCAGTGCTTCCTATGGATTCCAAATTGAATAGACCGATATCTTTGATCATTTCTATGTCGACGCTTCTCAACGGTCTCGTTTTGAACACGTTTTGAATTTCAACTAAATTCTCGCATAATAAAACTGCATGTATAATTGTTTTTAACATGTCGGGTAAGTTTAGTAGTACTCTTTTCAATGAAGTACATTTCCATGCGCGCAAAAGCTCTACACTTGGTGGGAGCTCGGGAATCATTTCGAGGTTTGTGCAATCATCCAACCGAAGTTCCTGGAGCTTACTAAGACCATTCATGTTTACTGATAGGCTCAAAAATGGGTTTCCACTTAGATTCAAATACTCCAATGAGGATAGGCTACTAAGATCATT